GATATATATATATATATATATATATATATATATATATATATATATATATATAAAAGTGGTTAACCCCTAACGTTATTGTATTGATACAGAGTCCATCAGGATTTCAACCCATGCTCTATGTACTAACAGTTACATGAGTATAGGGTATACTCACACACTAGCACTATCTCAAATGTATCTTACCCCATTTACGGGTAGAGGTGTATGCCTCTTACTACAATTGCAATAAAAAGTAAGTAAAAAACTACCAGCGTGAGACAGATCAAACTTCACTCAAGATCAGTTGAATAACTCAGATTTCCCTTCACACATGTGTGAACCCACACTTGCTTGACCCTGCTCATTGAATGTTCGATGAAAAGGCAAAAAAAATGTGTGTTTGCATATGAACCGTAAGGTACGACTTTGGATATGGGATTTTTGCTGGTTTTCCCCAACTTGTTTGCTTCAATTTGGTGTGCAGGTAGGTAGAAAGATGCTTGCAAAGGAGAGTGGTTTATGCCTATGTGGAACAAATGAAAAGATTGTCCTTCATTCAACTACTCACTTATCCGCATGTCCAAAAAAATTAGGTACTAGTACGAGTTATATGACAAGATAATCAGGTCGGATTATCTGACTGAATTATCAGAGGGGTAGGATATTCCGGAAATCCGAATGGTAAAAAAAAAAGTCAAAATAAATAAATAAATGATATTGCGCATGCAAAATACTATACACCTCTCTTATACACATCTAGATGTGTATAAGAGACAGATGCTATATACAGTACGCACACGTCATCTGACAATCACAATCATCAGTTGGGTCGGAAGTCTCGTGCCAAGATTTGCAGCCCTTCCCGTTCCAATCGTAAGGAGCTAACGGCCGCTCTCGTCAGGAATCTGCAGCCGTACACCTCTAGCAACTTCAAGCAGAGCAGTTTGCTCCCAATGACTCTCAAGCTTGCGTTCGTTACGCTAGCCTCCCCCAGCTTCAACACCTCCAAAGTACCAAGTCCACCCGCAATAACCCTAACCAGATCATCGTCAACGAAGGCGTGTTCAAGAGCCAGAGTCGTCAGCTTCGGCAGTCGATTGACCAGTTCAGTGATGAAATCCGGTCCCTGTCTACGGAACACGTTGTCGAACGAAAGCTCCAGAGAGCGCAGATTCAGGGATCGATTCCCAACCGCCTCAACAGAATGAATCCAGTCTCTACCCATCGAGAACTTACCCATTTCCAGACGCTCAAGCCGCGGGCAGTTGTTAGCGATGAACTCCAGCATGCTATGATCACACTCCCACGCCGACAGACTAATCAGCCGCCCCTGACTACGCATCACGACAGCCCTAGCAGCTTCTCGTGCGGTGCGACTGTAGCGGCCCGTGCAGTCGTACGTATCTGCTTCCTCCCAGCACCCCGGGTCACATGAGGCCCGATACCAGCTCTTGCAGACTTTGCCCAGCCGCCCCCTGTCCTTAGTGCGCAGGAAGCTGAAAATGTGCACCAGCGCCTCGTGTGTCAAATTCCTCCAATCTGGTCCAATTACGGCGTTATCAACGCCTTGGGTCTGTCTTTTAGGGCGAGCTTTAACTGCATGAGGAGGAGGAGAAGGAGGTGGTAGAGGTGGTGGTAAATGTGCAGCAGCACCCCTTTCTCCCTCACTCCCTGCACTCCTGCTTGTCGTGAGTCCCGCACAACTCTGAATGCGAAGAAGACCTGCACTCTCTCCCTCGCTCTTCTTGCTTGTCGTCCGCCCAGCAAAAAACCTGCGACGAAAATCTTCCGCCCTCAGTTCAGCGCGACAAAGATCTTTCTCGATCAGTTCAGCATCTTTTGCGTTCCGTTCAGCAAAATCCCGCAGACAATTCCAAATCTTAAGACGATTCGAGTCACTCTTTGAAGGCACCCTCCCCTTGCCACTCTCTAAACCAGCAGCCCCCCTTCCTCCCTCTCTACCTACACTCTCTCTCCCACTCCCGCTCTCCGCCTGCGGGTTTCCTCCTCCTCCTCCCTCTCTACCTCCTACTCTCTCCCTCCCGCTCCTGCTTCCGACCCGTCCAGCGCTATTGCGAAGAGGGGGGTTCCCCTCCCCATCAGTAAGCTCTGGCTGACTCTTCCGTTGCGCCGCCCTCTCTCCGCCAATGGCTAGCACACCCTCTCTTTCGCTGTCTTTACCTGCTCTCTCTCTCCCACTCTCTTTGCCTGCTCTGTTACTCCCGCTTCCTTTGCCTGTTTTCTCTCTTTCGCTGTCTTTGGTTGCTTTGCCTCTCCCGCTGTCTTTACCTGCTCGCTCTCTTTCGCTGTCTTTGCCTGCTCTCTCTCTTTCGCTGTCTTTGCCTGCCGTCTCTCTCCCGTTCCCGCTCTCTGCCTTCACTTTTACTTCATCTCTACCTTCTTTCTCTCTCTCTATCTTGCTTGTTGTCCGTCCCCCGCTGTCCCTAAGAATACCCCGAAAATCAACAATACAATTGGGAGTGATCTTACAATGCACCCACTCTCCGCAAGTCGCCAAATCAACATTCTCTATCTTAATGTCTCTTTGGACTGTGCTCTCCCTCCCGTTCCCGCTATTGCCGTGCGCTTCTTCTCCCTCTCCGCCCGCCGACTCTCTGGACCTCTCTAACACACCCTCCTCTTTTTTTACGTCTTTGTTGACTGTGCTCTTTCTTCCGTTCGCGCTCTCCCCTTGCGCACCTCCTCCCCCTCCATCTGCACTCTCTCCCTCACTCTTGTAATCCGCAATCGCATTCCAAAGATCATCCTCGTCGATTTTCTTACGATCCCCCCCCCCCGTCGTCTTGTCACTCTCTGCATCATCATCCTCATCATCATTCTCTAATAAGCCCTCCTCATCACTCTCTACGCTGTCCTCCTCCTTATCATCGTCATTCTCTACGCTGTCCTCCTTGTCATCATCATTCTCCACCCCATCTTCGTTACTCTCCTCATTCTCCTCGCTATCTTTGTCGTTATCGTCATTCCCTAAGTCATCCTCGTCACTTTCTAAAAAGGCGCCCTTGTCATTCTCTACGCTGTCCTCGTCATTCTCCTCATTCTCCAAATTGCCCTCGTCATTCTCTAAGTCATCCTCGTCACTTTCTAAGGCGTCCTCCTTATCACTCTCCAAGGCGTGCTCCGTGTCATCGTCACTCCTCAAGTTCTCCTCGTCATTTTCTAAATTGCCCTCTTCACTCTCGTCATTCCCTAAATTGTCCTCGTCACTCTCTAAGGCCTCCTCGTCCCCCTCCAAGCCCCCCCCGTCCCCCTCCAAGCCCCCCTCGTCCTCGTCCTCTTCCCTTTCCACCCCCCCCTCCAAGCCCCCCTCGTCTTCGTCCCCCTCCAAGCCGTCATCATCATTCTTTAAGCCGTCATCATTATTCTTTAAGCCGTCCTCGTCATCATTGTCTGAGCCGTCACTCCGGCGAAAGACGTCCTCGTCGCTCTCGACAATGTCCTCTCTTTGCTTGTCTTTCCCGCCTCTCGCTTTCGCTGTCTTCGACAGCTGGTGCTTGCGCGAGACTACCTCTCTTTCGCTGTCTTCGCCGGTGCTTTCTCTCTGGCATCTCTTCCTCGTTGCTCTGCTCACGCCATTGGAATCACCCTTATACTGACGACATGCCCGATCTCGCTTGCTCTCTGAGTCGCCCTCTCTCTCTCTCTCCCTGCTTGTGTTCTGTAACCTGTGCTTGTTTTTCCTTCGCCTCCTGTCCTTGCCACTGCTCTCTCTCTCCATTCTCTTACTTGTTGTTCCACTCGCGTCATTGCCGTCATCCTCATGCTGATTACATGCCCGATCACACTTATTATACTTGGAGGCGCGCTCTCTTTCTCTCTCTCCTCCTCTACGAGCGATCTCTCTCCACCGCTTGATTTTCCTCGCACGTCTTCTGTAATCACCATCGTCTCTCGTACTATGCCGATGATGCGTGTCATCTCCGTCACTCTCTGAGACCTCCTCTCTCTCTCGCTCTCTCTCTCGCTCTCTCTCTCGCTCTCTCTCTGTGCCGATGCTAACTCTCCTGGTCTTGGCTTTCCTCAATCTCACGCAATCAGAATCATCATCGACATGCTGACGGCGCGTACAACGTCGACGTAGGGGGGAAGAACGACGGTCGTGAGGCGACTCTGCTGCGTCTGCGTCACTCTCAGAGAGATGGTCTCTCTCTCTCTCGCTTCCTGCGCTCTCCCTTGAGCTCTTGCTTCTCCTCCACCTCCTCTCTCTTTTCCTTTTCCTCTCCTCCGCCGACCTCTCTACCTGCCTTCCTCCTCTCGAGTTGTTGTTGTCGTCATTCAGAATCGTGCTCGTCGAGGCATGCGGATGCCTGTGCGCGTGGAAGTTCACCGCCACTCCGCCGATCCCGCCTGCTACTCTTTTGCGCCGTTTTTTGCGCCCCCTACTCTCCCAATCTCCACCACGTAAGAGAAAATTCACCACCACTCCTCCCATCCTGCCTCTTGCTTGTTCGCTCTGCACACTTCTCTTCTTCTCCCCACCTCCGTGCACGATGAAATTCACCACCACGTCGCCCATCTCTCCTCCTCCCATGTCTTCCACCTGTGTGATCCTCTCCTCCTCTTCCTTCTTCCTTCCCCCCCGCCGCCTTCCTCCCTTCTCTCGCTCTCGTCTTCCCTCCCCCCAACTCGGAGATGCCTAATGAATTGCCTGCCACAGTTGCCGCGCTCTCTCCGCTGTCCGCGTATCATGTCATCCTGGCGCAGGGGCCATGCTAATTACCCTCTGTATCGTTCAAATTTTAACAGATGTCCCGAAGGACTCTGTCCGCATATCGCAGAAGACCCTCATCGTTTGTTTGTTTTTTTTGTTTTTTTTGTTTTTTCACCCTCATCGTTTTCGGAATCAACCACGCAGCAATTCTCTTTTTTTTTCTTTTTTTTTTTGTCTCTTTCTATATTCTTCTCTCAACTTCTGTTTTTGCCTTTCACTACCTACTCCTAAGGGCCTCGCCACACCACTCTCCAAATGTAGCGGGCGCATCTGGCCATGTTCTAGCGGGAAGTCCATTCTCAATTTGCACATTTCGAGAGTGGTGTGGCGACGCCCCAAGGCTATCTAGAGGGGACCCCTGCAGCAATTCGTAGCCACTAGGGCCTTCTTTTTCCATTTTTTTTTATTTGATTAGAGATCGGCAAATTTTGCCTCATGCCCCTCAAAGATGCGTTTATTTGCTCTCATGCCCCTCAAAGATGCGTTCATGTGCTCTCATGCCCCTCAAAGATGCGTTTATTTTCTCTCATGCCCCTCAAAGATGCGTTTATTTGCGTCGCCCCTCTGCGGCCACCGGCTTTCCTGCTGCGCCCGTCGGACCACCGGTTTTCCTGCCGCGACGCTGGGACCACCGGCTTTTCTTTTTCTTTTTTTTCTTTTTGTTTTGGGGGGGGAGGGGGAGAAAGGACCACCGGCTTTCATACTCCGCCCCTGGGCCATCGAATCTTTCTGAACTTTTCGCCAGCTCCCTGTCCGAAGGGGAGCATCTTTCCTCCATGGCCTCCTGGGAACGCCGGATTTCCTGTTACACACCGGTGGGGAATCGTATCTTGTCGCCACGCCCCTATTCAAAGTGCGGCCAGCTTTATGGGCCTCCCTGCACTACTCACGACTCGTGAAAAATTGCAAGAGTGCTTCACGAGTTGTCAGAGCCCGAAAAAGGGCTAGAGCTTGGGCGTCGCTGCACTTAGGGGTGGACCCCACAGGCTCGGGGAAAGGCAGACAATCTGTCCGCGCAGGACGGGGTTCGTCCACCGCACATGGAGGTTTCCAGGAACACGGGACCCCAGACGACCTGCTTGCCCAAACAGGAAAACACATTCGGCCTTTCCCGAAATGGGAAGTTTACGGTGGCCGCCGTCATTGAACGGGTTTGTTTTTTGGTCCACCGGATGTCCATGTGCGGCATGGTGTGACGGGAATATGACGTGTGGGCGACAAACGAACGGGTCCCAGCAACAGGACCTGGCTCCCACGGAACCTCATGGCCGCTGGAGTGTGTCGTCGACCGTTTGGGTTCGGGTCGGGGACCACTGACCGTTGGCGCTCCCTCCGCCATTGCAACGCCATCGCCAGTCGGGTCGTGGGACGTGTCGTCGCCATTTGCGTTCAGCGCTTGAAAGTGCTTGATCGTGTGGCCATGGAAGCGGGTTTCGGCGATGGAGATGGGGACATGCCCGACATGTACGCGGCAATGGAACTCGACAGCGGGCCTGGCAGCTGTGCTGCCGGCGCATGCTCGGATGCGATTGTGGAGTGGGACGACATGCTGTTCATGTTGGTTTTCGTCATCATCCAGTGGATGAAACAAAGGAACGAGGCGGCTATGACCGTTATCGAGGCAGCAGCATCATTGCCTCTGTGGGATCCTGGAATGCCTGTCGTTTTGGCACTGTTGACGTATGGTGTTGGTCACAACCTTCATCTCCTCCATGCGGCCTTGAGTCCCATTCACAAGAGAGGCGAGAGTAGTGGTAGGATTTGGGTACTTGATCGTAGCGGTGGTGTGTGGAAGGATCTCCAACGTGTGGGTAGGAGACACGACAAGATCTTCAAAAGGTTTTGTAGGCTCCCTCGTCCAGTGTTTGAGGACGTCTTGCGCCGAATAGCACCTCATATTCAGCGGGCAACAACGAATTGGAGGCAGCCACTGCCTGCGGAACATAAATTTGCATGCGCGCTGATCAGATGGGCCACTGGCGGTTTCTACAGACAGTCTGCTCATGGGTTGGGCATGGGACTGGCCAGTGCACTGCGGAGCAACGAAGACGTGGCCGACGCAATCATCAGGGAATACGGTGATGTCATCTCCTTCTCGCGGGGTCGCCGTCTGCAAGAGACATTGGATGCATTTGAACGGAAGGGTTTTCCAGGCTGTGTGGGTGCGATAGATTTCACTCACCTTTACATTGAAAAGCCAAGGAAGGAGCGTGGCGAGTGCTACTACGACAGGACGGGACAGTTTTCGGTCATCGCGCAGGTGGTCTGCGACCAAGAATGCAGGATTTTGGATGTGTACGTCGGCTGCCCGGGCTCCAACCACGACTCTCGGGTGTTGCGCTTATCTCCTTTGTACTCCGACGCTCAAAACTGTTTAGGAGTGTTCAGTGTCGGTGCACACACGCTCAATGAGGGGACAAGAATTGGCCGGTATGTATTGGGGGATGCAGGCTTTCCTTGTTTGTCGTGGTTGATCACGCCAGTTCCTACTCGTGGTCGTACCGCAGACGGTGTCACCTTCAACGACTCGCACTCCGCTGCAAGGAGCGTCATCGAGCGGACGTTCGGGATTCTAAAGGTGGTGTGGCGAAATTTTATCCGTCGACAGATTGGCAACTTGAAGACGTTGTGCAAAGAGTTCATGGCAGTGTGTATATTGCACAATATTCTTCTGGACCACAATGTGGACGCCGACGAGCTGTGCACCTCTGACGGTGATGACTCCGATGACGACAACCCTCCGCCACGTCCCCTGCCACCAAGGAACCTGGTTGTGCGACGACGACGACGGCAGACCTTTCACGATTCAACGGATGAGTCGTACGGCAGCGAGGAGGGGGCGGAGTGTAGGTCAAGGTTGGTGACGCATGTCGTCCATCATGTTCGAGTGCATGGTGCGCCACAACGAGCTCCTTGGTGTCGCGTGGGTGCACGAGTACAGGCATAGGT